ACTGCTGCCCGCCCGGGAGCCCCGGATACTCGGACCCTGCGCCCAGATAGGCTGGGCTGGGCGATGCCACGCGCCCCAATGCTGGGTCTCCTGGCGCCGAAAGATCAGGCCTCCGTGCTGGTTGGGCAGCTCGCAGACAAAGCGCCTACCCCGCTTGGTGCAGGCAGGCCACAGAAATAAAGGAACTGCTGCCCGCCCGGGAGCCCCGGGTACTCGGACTCAGCGCCCAGTTTAAGGGAGTTTTTAACTTCCTCTTTAAAGGTCTCCATCATTTTCATAAAGTTATGTTTAAAGTCATTTTCTTCTGCATATTCTGGGTTAGGGTGATTAAGTCTCCCTGTTGTGTGTCTTCTGGGTTCTGGTGTTACCATGTTGTTTTTTTTAGGTTGTTGGAGGAATTCTTGCATTGGTGCCTACCCATCTCTTCCTTCAACTGAGGCTGTCTTGGCTTAGTGGTCCAGTTTTTGCTGTGACTGTCTCTTAGGTCCACTCAGTGTTGGAGCAGGCTCTTAGGTCGGCTTAGTATTATTGCAGACTGTATTTCGCAGGGTTTCATGGAGCTCACAGGAAATGGTGGGTTAGAGGTGGGGTGGATTGAGGGCTAGCAGGTAAACTCCCTGCTGACAGCTAGAAATGCCAAGGGAACTCTTATGTCCTCAAAGTATTGGGACATGATGTATGGCAGGGTCCCACTGAGCTCACTGAGAATGGTGAGTTGGGGGCAAGATGGATTGAGGGCTAGCTGGAAAACTCCCTGCAGGCAGCTAGAAAGGTCAAGGGACCTGGGTTGGGGTCCCTGGCTTTTCTCCCACATGGAAGGCTTAGGAGTTGAGGATCTGGGGCCAACAAGGCCACTGCATACTCACCTCTTATGTCCTCCAAGTATGGGTGCAGGATTATGGGAGGGTTCCACAGAGATCACAATGAATCTTTCCTTATTTTTCTAATCCCTATGCTCCTATGTGGTAAGTGGTATCCTTGTCAAAACTGGTCTCCGATATATTCTGACTATAAGGATCTCTAATTATACCTGAAGCGGTGTTCCAGTGGGGGATATTCTCCCTGTAGGATGTAGCAATCCTGCTCCTCTCCAACAGAGAACTTTTACAGCTGGGCCATGCTTGACTCTGCTAAGAGTGTTTCAAAGAAGAGATCCCATTGTTGCTCTGTTCCACTGCACCTCCTGCTTTTGTTTATATAAGAGTTTCAAACCCAATACAAAACTATATACAACAGGAACAGATATCAATTATAATTAGAATTACAAGCAGCATAAACAATATTAAGCAAGGAATGTATACAAAATGTTTTATTTTTTTATTTTTTATTTTTTTATTTTATTTTTTTATTTTTTTGTTTTTCGAGACAGGGTTTCTCTGTGGCTTTGGAGCCTGTCTCGAACTCACAGAGATCCGCCTACCTCTGTCTCCCAAGTGCTGGGATTAAAGGTGTGCGCCACCACCGCCCGGCGTACAAAATGTTTTAATAAACATTCTATCCTAGGAGTCTAAGTCTTGTATAAGAAATGGCTTGGCTAGATCCTAAGAGTACAATAAATATGACTATAAAATCTTCAACCCCACTGAAGGCCTGATAAGGGAGATAATATTATTTGAGCAGGAAGAAAGTACAGTAATCTGCTTCCAAATTGAGCAGTATATGGCATAGACAATTAGCTATCTGAGTCATCACCCAAAGTCTCATTTTGTAACATTGAAGCAATGTTGGCTAAGGCCTGGTGTAATTGACAATCCATTTTCAGAGGTAGAAAAATTTTCAGAACCATCTTACCCTGTCTAGGCAAGATTTGGCAGTCTTTCTCCTTGTGTCCTGCTTATCCATATCTGGAAACCATGTATGTTGTCAGTGGTTGAGGTATGGGCAGTTTCTTGCCCAAATGTCAATTGTGCCATGAAGAAAACAAGCTATAAGTGGAGTGTCTTTGGTGTTCAACATTCTCTTGGGAGTAGATTGATGCTGTCAAGAGCAATCATGTCTTATGTCAACAGAACCCTAAGTTATTTAAACACCATGTTCTACAAATCCTTGAAGTGGTTGAAAATTGCCTATCTAGACAAAATACAATATGTATCTAAAGGACCCAATTGATCTGAATGTAAATACAACAAACATGAACAACTATTGAGCAATAATGTTTAATATCTGTTTAACTTAAAGACTAAAAATTCATGTCCAAATATTAAAGAATCAGTAAACAAATGTGCAACAAATGAGAATAATGACTTCAAAATGTAAACAATGTATAAGTATGGCTTCTTTCATGTATGTGAAGATTACTGTGACACACAAGGCTTTACCCCATTGATTATGTTAATAGGGTTTCTCTCTTATATGGGTTCTTTCATGCTGTTCAAGACTTCTGCGATTTGTATAGGCCTTACCACACTGATTACAATCATAGGGTTTCTCTCCAGTATGGGTTCTTTTATGCCTTTGAAGATGACTGTTCTGTGCAAAGGCTTTACCACACTGGTTACATTCATAGGGTTTCTCTCCAGTATGGATTCTTTCATGACTCTGAAGATGACTGCCATGTGCAAAGGCTTTACCACACTGAATACATTTATAGGGTCTCTCTCCAGTATGGATTCTTTTATGACTGTAAAGATGACGGCGACCTGCAAAGGCTTTACCACACTGATTACATTCATAGGGTTTCTCTCCAGTATGGATTCTTCTTACATGCACTTGAAGAGACGTATGGACTGCAAAGGCTTTACCACACTGATTACATTCATAGGGTTTCTCTCCAGTATGGATTCTTCTTACATGCACTTGAAGAGACGTATGGACTGCAAAGGCTTTACCACACTGATTACATTCATAGGATTTCTCTCCAGTATGACTTCTTTCATGCCTGCGAAGAGTGCTGCAATCTGCAAAGACTTTACTGCACTGATTACATTCATAGGATTTCTTTCCAGTATGGGTTCTTTCATGTATTTGAAGATGACTGTGTTGTGCAAAAGTTTTACCACACTGATTACTTTCATAGGTTTTAGCTCTAGTATGGATTATTTCATGCTGCCTAAGATGAGTGCAATATGCAAAGGCTTTACCACACTGACTACATTCATAGGGTTTCTCTCCAGTATGACTTCTTTCATGCCCTCGAAGAGTGCTACGAAGTGCAAAGGCTTTACCACACTGACTACATTCATAGGGTTTCTCTCCAGTATGACTTCTTTCATGCCCTCGAAGAGTGCTATGAAATATAAAGGCTTTACCACACTGATTACATTCAAAGGGTTTCTCTCCAGTATGGCTTCTTTCATGTCTCTGAAGATAATAACGAAGTGCAAAGGCTTTACCACACTGATTACATTCAAAGGGTTTCTCTCCAGTATGGCTTCTTTCATGTTTCTGAAGATAAACACGAAGTGCAAAGGCTTTGCCACACTGATTACATTCATAGGGTTTCTCTCCACTGTGTGTTTTTATATGCCTTTGAAGAGTACTGTGACGGGCAAAGGCTTTACCACACTGATTACATTCAAAGTGTTTCTTTCCAGTATGGGTTTTTTTATGCACTTGAAGAGTACTGGGATGCACTTTTGTAAATGCAAAGGCTTTACTAGACTCATTGCATTCATAGGGTTTCAATTTATTTTGTGGTTTTTCATGCCTCTGAAGATGACTGTCACGTGCAATGTCTTTAACACATTGAATATATAAAGTTTTCTCCCTAAATTGACTTCTTTCATTCCTGCAATGATAATGGTTCATGTCAAAGAATAACCACATTCAATACATTGTTGAATATTTTCATTTGTATGAATTAATTTAAATATTTGGTTCAATTTTAAAAAGGAATTCTATCTTAAGGTTTTATCACTGTGTTTAAACTCATGTTGATCCCCTACATTAAGACTTGTTTTGTGGCCGGGTGATGGTGGCACATGCCTTTAATCCCAGCACTTGGGAGGCAGAGGCAGGCGGATCTCTGTGAGTTTGAGACCAGCCTGGTCCACAGAGCTAGTTCCAGGACAGGCTCCAAAGCCACAGAGAAACCCTGTCTCGAAAAACCAAAAAAAAAAAAAAAGACTTGTTTTGCATCTTTGAAGATGAATGATAATAACATCCATTATTACATAGTTCACATTTACAGAATCTTTTTTCTTTACAAGAATTTTCACGTATTTGAAAAGAAATGAAAAAAAATCAAAACTTTACCACCCTTATTGCATACATAAAGTTTTCTATACTGTGAGTGATACTATATTTCCTAAGTAAACTATGACAAACACAAGTTTTTACACAGTCCTAATAAATACTGCTAGTATTCATAGCATTCCTAGTCCTATTACTTGTACACTTGTTCATCAAATTCAACAAGTATATGTAACATGAGGACCACTACACATCTTCTAATTGTTGTGAGAAAGAAGTATAGCTACTCTACCCTATGCTCACATGGCTTGTATATAGAGTAGCATATGATGTACCTACTAAAGGAATAATAGTTACCACATTTTCCCAGTATAACTTTATGTCCTCATAGACTTATGGATCTAGATTTATGTTTCTGCATTTCTGTATACCAACTGTCCTTTGATGCTTTACTCTGACTGCCCCCTCTCTAAAGTTAGCATAGTCACAAGTACAGGGGTTACATTAGCTTTTCTATGGACTATTAGTGTAGTAGATAGTTTGAGAGATAAATTTATCACTTTTCAAAATGTATACCTTTTATTATATGAATAGTATTAAATAAATGGATTGACAATTCTACAACATAGCTCTTGTTGTATTATGATTCAAATGGTTATATAGGTTAAGGCATTGTTTCCTTAACTTCTTTCTTTTAAAAAATGGCCTGCAAATGCAGTTTGGTTACCTAAAATTGAGGTATATGATTCTGTGAGAATTCAATAAACATTGGCACACTTTATTATTTACATCGTTGCTTCTTTTTAAAACATTTAGGAAACATTGCAAATTCTTCAAAGGTACATTCCTCTCAGCTTATACATTGAAAATTACCTTTTATGTCTTCTAGTACTTTGCCAATGTTCTTTAATATTATGGTCTTCCCAATTGTATCCTAAAATATAGTGCCAGAAAATATATGTTATGTAGTGAAATTTTTTAAAAAAATTTTAGTTACTATTTTCAGTGAACCTTACAACCATGCCTGACTTCTTCTTCTTCTTTCTCAGTCACATTACAAAAGAGCATCAGTTCTTTCCTGATTTTGAGTACTTTTTCATTTGATACAGGGTTTCTCTGTGTAACAGTCCTGGCTGTCCTGGAACTAGCTCTTGTACTTAACCCTTATTTTGAAACATGAAAGAAAATTCTGTCTTACCTATAGCAGTAAGGTTTCCGTAGGTCTCCAGCATCACATCTTTGTAAAGATTCTTCTGGGAAGTATCCAACAAACTCCATTCTTCCCAAGTGAAGTCAACATGCACATCATCATATGTCACTGTATTCTAAAATATCCCATACATGTGTAAAACAAAAAGTATGATATTGACAACACTGTAAATGTATACTTCTTTGACGGTATGATCATAGAAATGTGGTGTTCTCTGTACTCACTCCATGACACAGATATCATAGTTTAATCACCAACACTTGAGAAGCAAACTAAATAGGAGTTTCACCTGTCATTTCTGAACCCTTTGAAAGTGAGATCACCTTGCACAAGAAATGCCTATTAGCAAACAATGAAAGACACGTGAACAAATGAACAGTACATGATACATGTGAGAGATGTTCTATGGATGATTAATTCCTAACTACAAAAGAAAAAAATAAGACAGTCAACAAGCTGGATGCCTTGGGTCATGCCTTTAATCCTACCTCTCAGAAATTGGAGGCAAGTATATCTGCCTCTCAGTTGAATGCCAGCATAATCTATGAAATCACTTCTAGGACAGTCAGAAATACATATTAACTCCCTGTTTACCATGAAAAATCAATCAAACAAACATAAAAGATAGAAAGAACTCAGAGTTTTTTTCTGAATTTACTACAAAGAGCTATGCATTCACTCCAGATCTATATCCATATTCCAGAAACTTAAAGTGCCTCAATTTAAATTGTAAGATCAATAAAATCTTACTAAAAGGCACTGTGTACTCGAAAACTTACAAATAACCAAATAAAAACATTAGCAATATTTATGATGTTCACAAATAATCAACACTGTGCAGGAAATATGGCTCAACAGTAAAGAGCCCTCCTGGCCTTGCATACAGGTGGACTCAAGGACTTACATGGCAGATCACAACTTTCCATCATTCCAAGTTCGAGGTTTCTTGTACCATATTTTGATCACTGTAAGGACCAGGTACATACATGGTGCATATGCATGTACGGTGTGGGAAGTCCTTCTGTATATGTGTTGCTTTTATTGGTTAATTAATGAAACTGTTTTTGGCCAATGGCTTACCACAGTAAAGTCAGGAGGGAAATCAGAATGGAGATGGAGAGAGAGTAGGCAAAGTCAGGGAGAAGCCATGTTGATGACACGGGAGACAGATGCCCCCACCAGAGACAGCTGGAAACTTGCCAGTAGGCCACAACCTCGTGGTGATATACAGATTAATGGAGATGGGTTAGTTTAGAAAATAACATCTAGCTAGAAGTACTCTTAAGCTATTGGCTAAATAGCACCGCAAATACTGTAGTTTCTGTATGATTACTTTGGCTCTGGGCATCTGAGCATGAACACCTCCACCTAGAAACTGGCACCAATGTGACTGACTACATTCAGAAAGCCTGAGAGAGCTTGGAAAGTAATTCTAGGCAGAAAAAAATCCAACAACAGAGTTAAACACCACTTCTTGGTAGCTGGTATTTATTTTATTTTTTGGATGGGCTCTATTTGCTGGTGGCAAATAGGTGCCATGGGTCCTTTAAGAGAGGTCTTCCTGATTTAGTGGTAGCAGAAATAAATGTGGCTTTAAATGGTGGCTTCCTGGTTCATGCTGGCAGCACAAACTCTGGCTCTTTCGGGAAAACAAGCACTAAAATGGGGTCTGTGAACAAGTGTTACACATTGCTTAAAGGTGACACAATCCCACTGCAACCCTGAATTTAGTGCAGAGCGAATGGCTCCCAGAGATAGTGAACATGCTTCCTGGTCAACCAGCAAGGTACCAACTGGGAGCTGGAGTCTTTCCCCTCTGGCGCTCCATGGTTTATCCACAGCTGCCATTTCCTTTTCATTAGCATTAAAAACTTTTAAAGATAATAAACTACTGTGTAGTCTATATCTGGAAGTCTTAATTTCCACTTTCTGTTTATTAAGCATGTCTTCCAGAGGGGCAGATGAAGTGTTAACTAATTAATCTTTATCATTATAAATTGGAAATCAGATATCAGCGTTATCAGAGAAGCAGTGGAGAAGCCAACAGGGACTCTTACCTTTTCCATTCCGACATCCAAAAAAATCCCATGATCTCTCATCCCAATCATACTTCTTCTTGTCTCCTATCTATTGATAGCCCTCCAAACCCCTATGCCATTTTTGGTCAGTAAATAGGTAAGCTCTGCTCTCCGACTCCAAACATTCTTCATTATCAAACTATGATCAAAATATCACACAGCACCCTGCAACCTCTCATGTGCCTCACTCTTGCAACTTCCATGCCCCTATGCAGTTCTCCATGGCAGATGCCTCATAGCTTGGGTATCTCAACATCACGTGGTCTGAAATGCAACCCAGCTTCGTCTTCACCATTTCGTGTAATGAACACTTACAATCTCTTCTTCACTGGAGCTAATGAATGCTTACAATCTCTTCTTCACTGGAGCTCTGACTCTGCCAAACATAGATGGGTACAGAAGAAGAACCCATGACCTTTACATTTTACAACTTTCTTGTTTTCTGTATCAGTATGACATAGGTGATCCTGCCAAGATTTGATGGACCACACCAAGTTTGGGCCAAATTTTCTGCAAGTTCTATATGATGTTGTTTTTGGAACAAGAATTACTTTACATACTCCTTCCATAAATTAAGGGCTTTACTAGAAGCAGTCTTACACCTGGAGCATGTTCCTAGGCTTCAAATATACAGTCAGGCTCTAAGCTTTGATGGTACTGAAATTCCTGACAATGTCTGCACCTTTTTCACCACTGGACTGCCATCTGAAACTACCTAGTGTTGTTTTTCTTAACAAAACACTTTTCTGATGTGGGATTTCCTTCTGCATGCTGTGAATATGTGTTGCTTTTATTGGTTGATGAATAAAACTGTTTGGCTGGTGACAGGACAGAATATAGCTAGCTGGTAAATCCAAGTGGATACAGAGAGAAAGAAGATTAAGCCAAGAATCCAAGAGGCACAGGAGAAACAAGATGTGAGATAACAAGCCATGAACCATGTGGCAAAGCATATATAAAAAATGGATTAATTTAAATGTAATAGCTAGCCAATAATAGTTTGAGCCATTGCCCAAATATCTGTAATTAATATAAGCCTCTGAGTGGTTATTTGGTAGCTGGCAAACAGGAGAGAAACTTGCAGCTGCATTTTTTTATTTCTTTCTACTTGTTTCTTTTTCGCTCTAGACCTGAATGAGCCATCAGTAATAACCATCGAATAGAAGCAATATTTTGTATAAGAAATAAGTCTATTCCTTTTTAATTCTGCCTTGCTCACTTTCTTTGGACATTGAGAGAATAACAAATATTGGGGCAAAAATATCACACAAATGATCTCTAGACAAAATTTTCATGAAGTCTTCTAAGCACTTACCAATCTACAAACACCTTATGGGGCCACAAGGAAGAAAGCCAGACATGGGCTGGAAAGGCTATGACTGTCTTGAGAGCAATCAGACTCTATTTCTTTTCTTTTTTTTGACCCATTTTTATTATTGCTTTAAAAAAAAACAATCCAAATTCCCACTCTCTCCCCTCCTCCCATTACCCTCCCAATCCAACCACAGACCCTCGAACACCACCCCCTCCAATCCTAAAGACAGCAATACACCCCATCCTGTGGAAAGTCCAAGGCCCTCCCTACTACATGTTGAGCAAGGTATACATCCAAGAAGAATAGGATCCCAAGAAGCCAGCACATGCAGTAGAGACAAATCTCATTGTCACTATCAGTGGCCCCTCAGTCTGCCCCAACTGTCATCCAGAGGGACTTGTTTGTTTCCATACTCATTCACTCCCAGTCCATTTGGAATTGGTGAGCTACCATTAGCTCAGATACACTGTCTAGGTGGATGAACACATCATGGTCTTGAATTCCTTGCTGACTCTTTATTTCTTTATCAGAAACAGAAGAAAATGGAAATTTCTAGGATCCACAGAGTTGTAGTTTCCAGGATACAATAAAGTTTGCATCCTCTACCACATATACAAGATTAATGTCTAAGTCCAATTGTCCTTTTAAACTTTCATGATTCAGGGGCTGGAGAGATGGCTCAGCAGTTAAGAGCATTGCCTGCTCTTCCAAAGGTCCTGAGTTCAATTCCCTGCAACCACATGGTGGCTCACAACCATCTATAACGATGTCTGGTGCCCTCTTCTGGCCTGCAGGCATACACACACACAGAACATTGTATACATAATAAGTAAATAAATAAATATTTTAAAAAATGCTTTCCTGACTTTTTGATTACTAAGGGATCATACAAAGAAGCACAAATCAGCCTGAATATTTCACTGCCTGAGGGAATGCAATAGTCTGTCAGGACCTTGGAGGCACATTGTGTCCCAGAAACCCCAGATTTAACCTGAAATACCCATGACACTGGTCTCTCAAGGCAGGTAGGTCAGGTCAAAACCACGGTTCCCTAGAGAGCCTATTGCCCACTAAAATCCTATGACATTGACCTCCACTGTCCATCATTCAACATTCCCTTCTGCTTTGTCCTATGAGAAGAGCTGATTAAGCTCTTTGTCCAGCTCTCTATGGCTTTTGCCATCTAAAGTTCTGATATCTTCAGCATTCTCCCAGGAATCAACATTCCCAGGAACCTAGCAGCAACAAAATCTCCTTTGAGTCCCATGTTTGTTCCAACTTTCTTCTCTGTTGCTGTTATTAAATTATCTAACCAAAAGCAACTCAGGTAATGAACAGGTTTATTTGGTTGCTACTCCTATTTTATAATCCTTCCTTATGGGAGCTTATGATAGGAACTCAAGCTAATACCTAAGAGCAAAACATGTAGAATCACTGTCTCCTGGCTTTCTCTCTTGCTTTGTCACTGTCTTGTGCACAGCTGGGTCTCCTATCCATCCCTGGTTTGCTTGGTCAAGATATTGCCAACTCTATGGAAGAGAGAGTTCAAAATCAATACAATCTCTCTCAGACACATTAATCAGATATTCTGATCTAGGCATACCCTCTATCGGTGTTCCCTCAGGTCACTCTAGGCTCTGCCATGTTGATAGCTGAGGCTATTTAGGAAAAAGAGACAATAATATACGAGAAGGCTTGCTTTAAAGATCCAGAAATCAATGG